CCCGCACAGGCCTAGGAAGGTGAGCTCCTCCCACCTTCCACTCTTGACTCTGGATGCTGTGTGCTCTTAAGTGCCCCCTAGTGCAAGGCCAGGGCCAGAGAGAAACTTGACAAGGGTCCACTCCAGTCCTTCTCCACAAGTGCCTTTCATGAAAGCTCGTCCACTCCCAGGACACAGACTTTGTACTTTGTACCAAGTATTGTACCATGGGATGCAGAGATGCTGGGACAGGTGCTCTGCCCTTGGGGAACTCACAGTGGGTATTAAGGAGCTCACAACTGAAGGAACAGACACAGAGGGAACCTTTGCTAGCATCCAAGGACCTTGGAAGCAACATCTTTCTTGTATAGGAAATGTCATTTTTGACAAGCATGGCTGGACTCTTTCTTTCCATAGGCAATTGTCAAGCCTCTGTGCCTGCCAGCCCTGTTGTAGGTTCTGGGGAGTCAAGTGCACAAGACAGAAATAATGAATGCTCTTGTGAAGGCCCCAGTTCTCTGACCTGCAGGGCACAGCCACTCGTTGCAGAGTCTACTTAGATTCTCCCTTTGCCAAGGGCCAAGTTCCCCCATGCTGGAAGTGGCTACTTTTCTCAGTGGTACAAGGTGTGAAATTTAGAAGGGTCATTGGAAAATCCTAAAGGTCACACTTTCGCCACCACAGCAGAAAGGTAACTGTCACTTTCTCACCTCAAAAGCCTCCAACAAAGAAATCTTGGTCTTGTGATTGTTAGAGAAACATACCTGTGTAAAGGAGGCCATTCGGTAGGACCATGCTTGGGCAAGCCATTGGGGATCTTGCCTTCTGCCATGAGCCTGGCCATCCTTGGGGGCCAACCATCCCTGTGCTCACTGGCCCAGAAGCTCATCAAGGGCAGCAGACACACGTTGGTCTTCCCTTCTGGCTTCCTACCCACCCAATCTAGGACCCAGAATGACCTTTAATCGGTGTGGATTTAGGGCCTCCAGGTAGATCTCAACAGGTTCCAAGAACCCTCTTAGAACAAAGAGCAGCCCCGTGAAATCCTCTGAGGCAAAACCACTTTTGACTTTGGTATCTGAGATCTGGAGAAAAGAAGGAAGTAGAGTGTGGGTTGGGATTTGCCTCCTCCATATAAACGAATGCTGTAAATTATTAGCTAACTGCCATTTCTGCCCATCCCCTCTAGGTGGCAGCTTACAGTCCCCATTCACAGGCCTCCAGAGGTCCCTCCAGTCCATCTACCCCAATCTTTCTGAGACGAGCCAGAGCCCAAGGAACACCCATGGAAACTCCCCTCTATCTGCCTCATGGTGCCGTGCTGGAGCGGGCAGAATACTGCCTGGTGAGCCCCGGAGGAGACAGTGTCACAAGCCCTGTGGAGATGGCTTCTGAGGACTGTGAGGAAGCAGAGGCCCCTCTTGGAGGTACCAAGAGCCTCCACAAAGACCCATACCCCATTGGGCAGAAGGACAGGTGCCTCACACATCAAGAGCAATCTCTCGTGGATGGAAACGAACCAAGAGAGGAGAGTATCAGACCCAGGAGGCAGCAGGAGGGCAGGTCAGAGCTGGCAGAGGAGAGGAAGTCGGGCTTGAAGAAGTTAGTCCTCACTCAGGAACAGAAGACCATGCTGCTGGATTGGAATGACTCCATTCCTGAGAGTGTGCACCTCAGGGCTGAGGAACCACTTTCCCAGGACAGTCCTGGGGGTGGTAGACCAGGCCGTGTGCTGAAGCCAGTCCACCCCTTGACCCTCCCTCGGGCATGGAAACAGACGCTGCCAGCCCAAAGAGAGGCCCAGGAGGAGACACGGGCCCCAGCTGTACGGACTCCAGCAGAGCAAGGTGCCCCACCTAAGTCGCCCCTGCGGCTCATAGCCAATGCCCTCCGAAAGTCCCTGGGAAACTTCTTTCCCAACTCCGAAGGTGGAAAGAAGGCCTGGGCCAAGTCAGAATCCAAAACTTTGCCCACAGATCAGCCACACACCTGTACTCGCTCATTCAGCCTTCGGAAAACCAGTTCCAACAAGGAGGGGGACCAGCAGTCCAGTGGGACACATGTGGCAAGCAGGGCCTCTGCTTTCTTGTCCCTGGGTTCCCAGGCTGCTCAGTTCTCGAGGCTTAGCCCTTCGGACCCTGCCCTCCGCGCCCACAGTTTGCCCAATCGGCCATCTAAGAGATTTCCTGCACTAGCGTCCCCACCCTGCAGCAAGATGGAAGATGTCCCCATACTCCTGGAGAAAGTGAGTTTGCAAGAGACCTTACCAGATGCTGCTAGGGTTCCAAAGAAAGGAGCCTCACTTTTTTCCTCCCTCAAATTCAAAGACAAATCTTTTGAAAGTTTCCTTCAAGAATCTAAACAGAGGAAGGACATCAGGGACCTCTTTAGCAGCCCTGATGGGAAGGTGCTGCGCAGGGACAATGTCCTCTCCCTGGAGAAGCTGGCACAGCCTTTCAGAAGCACCTCCCTGGAACAGGTGGCCCGTCTTCCTTCTCCAGGAGGAGATGCAAGTAAGTGGCTCTTTCCGTGTAGAAGTCCACAGTTCCTGATGGTTGGTTAGTTATCCTTGCTTGGGTTAGCAAACAGGCATCGTCACTCTGATTTGTTTCTCAAATCAAATTCTAAATTGGCTTCTCACACACAAAAATAGAGAAACTTGAAGTTGAAATTTTTGAAAAAATTAAAATTTTGAAATTAGGACATTGAAAGTGTTGAGTTAATTAGAATTCCATCCCTTTCTTGCTCATTGACTGTTTTTTACTAAGTTGAACATAAAATATAACTTTTTAAAAATTAGCATCATGCCATAGATATTATGCCCATTACCGTCTGATTTACATAAATGTAATTTAATAGACTAGAATGTTTTGTGGATACCTTATCATTTAATGAATTATTTTCTTTTGTTTATAGGTATACATGAATATATAAATTATAGGTGAATATATTTATATTTCATGTATGGTGTTGAATGAATTTTTATGTATAGAGCTTTTTCTTTCTTTTGAATTACTAGGTTAAACACTTTTCTATATATTTGGTTACCAATGGAAAGGTACACTTTTTATGTTTAAATCTGATTTTTTAAAATTATAAATTAATATATCAAGGACAGTAATCAAACAACATGGAAATATCTAATAAAAAGCTATATTTATCATCTCATCACTTCTGTATTGCCAAAGACTTAGTATATTCCCTTAGCAACAATTTAGTTGTTGGTTGATTGCTTGAAACAAATGGTGATCTTACTATTTCTATTGTCAAGTGACTGTTTTTCTTTATTCTTTTTTTTCACTTTTTATTTTCTTACATAATTTTTATTTTGGAACTTTAGTTTTCAAGTAAAAACAAAATTACTTATCTTCTTTTGTTTCCCAATCAAATATCTATAATATTAACAGAGGCTTTATTTGAAGCCAAGTTTGGGATAAGCATAGACCAGGTTAGAGTATCACTCTGTCCTTTACATCATCTATCAAAAGTTCATGTGTCACAAAATAATATATTCATATGGTTTAAAATCAAAGGGTACAAAAGGCACAAGGTGAAAGTCCTCCCTCCCGTCCTTGTCGGTAAGGCAGCCAGACTCTATCTTGATGATAGATATTATTATCAGTTTCTTGGCCATTCTTCCAGGCAGAGTTTATGTATTAAGAGAAAATTTACATGTGCTTTCTTTTTCTTACACAAGTAGTAGCATGGTAGCATGCTGCACACACATTTCTTTTTTCTTTTTGTACTTTAATTTTATCTTGGAGATCATTCTACATTAGTATATAAAGAACTTTCTCTTCCTGATTACACCTGTAATCAGGAAGCTGAGGCAAGATGACTGCTGGTTTGAGGCCAGCCTTGGCAACTGAGACCTTGTCTGAAAATGAAAAATAAATAAATAAAAAGGTCTGGAGATGTAGTTCAGTGTCTGGGGATATAGTTCGGTGATAGTTACCCTGGAGTCAATCCTCAGTATTGAGGGCTGGGGGGAAGGAACTTTCTCCTTTGTTTTATTGCTGCCCTGTATTCCAGGGTACCTTAATTTATGCAGCCAGTCCCCAAGGATGCAAGATTTGTTATTTCACATCTTGTTATCACCAGCAGTGCTACATTGATTAACTGAGAACTTAATCCATTTGGCATATGCGTGAATTTATCTGTAGGATAATAAATTCCTAGAAGTGGAAATGCCTGAGAAAAGGATGTGTAAATTGGGAACTTTCGTATTGATTGCCCGGTTGTCCCCCATCCTGGTGTTCAGATCACATTCCCAACAGCCAAGGTGGAGTAACCAATGTGTTCCCCGCCTTCCTAATATTAACCTTTCCCAATCCAATAAACTCAGAAAAGTTGAAATTTCAATGAAGTAATTGAGCCTCTTTTCATATGTTAAAGAGACGTTCATGTTTCTTTTCCTTGTACTGTTGGTTCTGTCCTTTGTCCAGTTTTTTGTTGGTTTGTTAGTATTTTCTTAATGACAGGTAGAAACTCTATTTAAAAGGAAAGAACATTTCTTATGTTGTTACAAATATGTTTTTTCCAAGTTCTTGTTTGTGTTTAAATTTCTTTATGGGTTTTTTTTTTGGGGGGGGGGTTTGCCACAAATTAAATTCAGGGGCACTCAACCACTGAGCCACATCCCCATCCCTATTTTGTATTTTATTTACTCAGGGTCTCACTGAGTTGCTTAGCATCTTGCTGTTGCTGAATCTGGCTTTGAACTCCCCATCCTCCTCCCTAGCTGCTGGGATTACAGGCATGCACCACCACACCCAGTGTTTATGGTGGGTTTTGTTGCATTCAATTTTTATTTTTATATAGTGATTATAACTTTTTATTTTATGGAAGAAGAAAGAGCTTCTTTAAAGTTTATAGAATTCTCTTACAGTTTCATTGAGTCTTTTTGTTTGATCTTTTTTATATTTTTGCATTTAAATATTTACATCAAGAAATTATACTACTATAAAATTTTAATTATGGTTCCAACCTTATTTTTTTTAGATATCTCCCTACTTATCCTAAATAATTTAGTGAATAACCCATATTTTCCTCTCTTATATAAGGCAAGAAGATTGCAGGTTTGAGACCAGCCTCAGCAACTATTTATCAAATATTGGATTCCCACACTTGTTTTTATTTTCATCCTACTATATTCCATTGAGTTGTCTGTCATGTATCAATACCCTACTATTTTAATTATCTCATTATCTCACTTTATTTATTTGTGTGTGTGCTTAAATTTTTTTTTACATATTTTCTATTAGTAGGGAGAGTATTCTGATCTTTTTCTACAGTGTCCTGACTTTTCATGCTTGTCTGATAGTCTCTATGAATTTAACTTCAGCTTGTCTATGTATCAGAAAAACAATCTGTGAGTGCTTTTATATGATTGAGCTGAATTCATAAACTACTTACTTTAAGAAGAAATCACAAACTTATGATATGAATTGTCTTTTCATATGTTCATTCTTTTTCATGACCCTCAGGAACATTTTAATCTTTATATCAAATAAATCTTGCATATTTATTAAGTTTACTATTAGGTACTTTTGTTCTTGCTATTACTGTAAAGAATATCTTTCCAATTTATATTCCTACTTCTTGTGTATGTAAAAATTATTGATTTCTGTATAGTAATTTCGTACTCATTCATCTTACTACATTCTCTTTTCTTGTGTCAAGATTTCTCTAGGTTATTTCTATATCTACACTCAACATAAGCAAATAACCATTTTACCTCCTGCTTTTAAATTATGTGTCTCTTATTTTGTGCCCCTAGTTTCTTTTGTTACAGAATCTCCAGAACAATATTAAATTAAAATATTAATAATGATAATCTTAAGCTGGGGACATAGCTCAGTTGGTAGAGTGCTTGCCTCACATGCACAAGGCCCTGGGTTCAATCCCCAGCACCAAAAAACAAACCAAACAATTTTGCCAATGATAATCTTATTACATTTCTAAACTCAATGAGAATGCTGCTAGTGTTTTCCCATTTAAACATGATACTGGCTTCTGGGTTGACTGAGATATATCTTATCCTTTTATGGACATAACCTTCCTATTCTAATAAAAGTATTTTCAGTCATACATAAATGGTAAATTTTATCAAATGTCTTTTCAGCACCTTTTAAGATGTTTGCATGATTTTTTTTCTCCTTAGTTTGATATTATAAATTATATAATAGATTTATGGCTATTGAACTATCCTTGCATTGGTGAACCATTTTATCTTAAGTTCTTAATTTAATATACTTTCCAAGTCTGTTTAGTAATGTTTTATTCTTAAATAAAACATTGAATTTTATGGAATTTTATGTGACTTCTATATGTATTTATTACAATAAGTTGGGTAATGTATTTTCCTGATTTTCATGGAAAGATGTGTTCATGTATATTCAATGTGAAATAGTGTGATTTCCTTGGCTTAGAACAGAATGGGAGTGTAGAGAAGGGAATTAGATCTGGGCTGGCCAGCTCTGCAAATAGTGCGTGGGCCTCTCTCTTACAAGAGCCTTGTGTTTCTTAAAGGTGTTTCAAGACTATATGCTAAGGATATAAAGATTTTATCAATCCTACTAAATTAGGCCCATCAGTCTTTTTATTTCTTGCCCATTTCAGCAAATGCATACAGTGACACTGCTGTCTCTATATTTATCTTGTGAGCACACAAATTCTGTGCAAAGGAGGAAGAGTCAGATTAAAGTTTGATTTTTTTTATATTTTTACAAGAAAACGTTCTAAGTAAATTAAAGATACATGTAAATTTATCAGGATATTTAAATGGCTTAGGGGCATAAACTAATTTCAAGTAGTTACCAATGCTCATCTTACACAATTTTAATGCTAGCTATCATTCTTTTGTATAATTAAAGAAAGCCTCCTGAAAACCTTTTTATGTTTATATAAACTTATTGCAGTATAACATCTGTAAAGTCCTTAAATATTATGTCTACAACTGATGAGTTTTTACAAAGTGCACCATTGTGTTTTTGTCTCTGAGGTTAAACTACAGAACATTTGCAGAACACAGATGCCTCCTCATTCTTTCCTCCCTCTATATACCCCACCCAACAAAGGGATTGCCACCTGACTCCTATCAGCTTAGATTATTTTTGCAGCATTTTTGTTTTTTCACTTTAAAAAATAAAATAACTTGATATTGTAGTAGGAAGAATTATGCATAATCTTGTCCCCTAGAGTATGGTGGGAACATTTCAGTCCATCCTGTGATTAGGTTAGGGGATTTTTAAGGACATAATTAAGTCCCAAAACAATCAACTTGGAGTTAATCAAAAGGGAGATCATCCTGGTCAGGGCTAACTTAATCAGGCAATCCCTTAACAAGGACTTTCCAAGGTCAGAGACTGGATTCTAAGCCTAAGAGACATGATTTTGCTGGCCTAGAAGAAGGTAAACTGTCACGTTGTGAGAAGGCCATGAACAGATGGCCTTTAGGAGTTAAGATTGACAGCCACAGAGAAAAAGGACCATGTGCCCACAACCAATAGGA